AAAAAAATAGGGTGTTCCATTTAAAAAATTCAAGATGACTTTGACTTAACCTCAACGACGCCAGCCAGGGTCAAACTGATGAGACTATTGAATAGATCTTTTTAAATCCTACAACTTTTATTTGAAACATTTTTCTGTAAAACTTATATTTTTTGAGATATTTTTCAGGATTTCCATACTTTTTCCTCACCCTGTATATTCAGATATATTTGTTATCTGTTAGCTTTGTGTTTGGCGATTCTAGACAGTATGTAAGCATGGTTTTATACGATCGTTGTCTTTTCTACGACAGGAGTTTGCTTATTGCCAGTGCCGAAACATCCGCTGTTTTCAGACAACAAATGGCGTGAACACGAGGCATTGCAATTTATGCGCGGTATAATGGACGAGTGCACACATTTGAAGAATTTTGAGATACCCGTTGACACTGAATTAATTATTGCTGTCTGTGCCAAGAATGACGCTTATGTACCACGAGATCATTGCATGAGTTTGGAAACGATATGGCCGGGAGCTGAAGTTCGTTATATCAATGCTGGACATGTCAGTGCTTATCTTCTTCATCAAAAAGTCTTTAGGTATTTCAGAATATTATAATTTTTTTGTTCTTATCTCTTTCATTTAATATAAAAGAATTTTATTAGCACGTGTATGTTTTATTTCAGATCCACAATAGCGGAATGCGTCCAACGATCTATAAAGAAATATCCTACAGAGGTTAGTTGATGTGCAATATTTGCAAATTTTACTACATGTGTACATTATTTTGGGACACTTTTAATTAGATGACGAAATATTTTCCGAGTTTGTAATTAACTAGACTTCTCTCTACGCTTAAGGATCTCTATGTGTGCGCGCACATGTGATCTATTTTTAAATCATGATAATTATCTACAAAAAGAGTACAATTATTCAGTCAATTTAGTATTTAATTGATATTATCGTTATATAGAATGAGCTAGTTACCAATAAAATATGTTCCTACAATAATAAAATAATAATACACGTGATACAATAGATAAGGAGATTTTGACACATGTACATGTTATTTTTTAATTAAAAAATCAATTTGTAAAATAATGAAAAAAAGAAAAAATATCTCAAACAAAAATTACTTGTGAAAAGACAAAAGATAGTGACTTTAATTTGAGCTTGACTGATATATCTTCAGGATCATATTTTTATTTATTTAAATCAGGGCTTGGTACGCGATACAACTTTTGGCCGATTTTCAAATCGAAATGAATTTTTGTAACATTATTTCTTCGATATTCTGTAAAAATATAATAATAATTGTGTATAAAAAAGTAAATATTTTATAAGAGCAATATATATCAAAATTTAAAAATATGTTAAATATTTTGCAAACTATATTAATTTTTTACTAATACTTTTTTATGCAAAATATCGTGAAAAATTAATTTATCATGTAATAAAATATGCTGTATTACCACATCACAAATTCTACACTTACATAGAAAACAGGAAAATCAATTCTTTGAAAGAATTAATTTGTCATACTAGCATAATTCTGTATCATGTCTCTTCGACTGTAAGATAATGTGTCAATTCAACGACAAAGAAACATTTGTAAGAATTACTGAAGAAGGACTTGAGGCTGTGAATTCCAAAACGTTCAATAAATTTTTTTTTATATTTATGTTTTCTATACTTAATATTATAAACTTGAAGAAAATTTATTAAAACCTTATTACCGCTCGATTTAGATTGTTTTTATACTTTATATGGTCTTATATTTTAAGAAAAGCGATTTACATAAAATCTTAAAGATGCCAGATAAAATCAAATTAAAGTTACTATTTTACGATAAATTCCTTCAAAATCAAATAACTTTTGTCCGTTCAAACTAAAATTGGATGTTCTGTACATTATGTAAATACAATATATACAAAATTTATACACATTTTCAACTATATTTTTATTGCTATTTGTGAATTACTGATATTCAAATACTGTTATATATTATATATTATATAATTATATATTGTATATATAGTGACAAGTGTTCATTAAAAAATAGATATACTTGATATTTTTTGTACGTTATGTAATATTATTGTATATGCAACAATAAATTACACATATATAAACATATAGTATATTGTATATATGTGTTGTGCGTGCGTGCGTACGAAAGATTAATAAGTACAATGCATATGAAATAATTAGAATAAAACTAGAACTGTCTTTTTTCTTTTGTTTAATTCCGCATTGTGCAAATAATTTTTTGTTTGCATTTTTTGTTCAAAAAAGTTTTTGAAATCATAGTTAGCAAATTCCCGCTCTTCTGGAAATGTTAAGAGCTCGAATTGGCTAGCAATCGATCGCTTTTCTGTATGTATCAAATACAAAAAATACATTTTAGACATTATAATAAAAGGACCCTGCACAAAACTTATAGAAAAGTGCTTTCGGTTGAATTGGCAGAGATATAAGCAGTCACTCTACCGAAAAAGTGATATGCACTATACATTCGCGTTATTATCGATTTCTTAGGGCTTTGTTTCTCAGGGTTGGGTAAATTAATGTTTTTTTTTAACTGAATAAAGTTAAAGTTAATGGCTTTACAAAATTAATAAAGTTAAGTTAAAAGTTGAAGAAATAAAAAATTAACTTAACGTAAGTTAAGTCAATATTGAATTAACTCAAGTTGAAAAAAAAGTTAATTTCGAAAAAAATAATTTTTTGATCAAAATGTCCTAATTTTTCTTAAAATGAGATTAAATAACTACAATATAGATTATTAAGTAAATTAAATTTTTAATTTTTTTATTTATATGTGATAAGTATATAACACATAACGATATAACTATATAAATTATATAACTTTAAAAAAACAGCCAGCACATAGAAAAGATACAAGAGTGACATTTAAAAAAATTACATTTTAAGTTAAAAATAAACTATCAATAAAAATACAACGTATCGATAATGACAAAATATTAAATAATAACAAAACTCATAGTTCCTCAGAATCATACATATACATTGCAGAATCACATGCAAAAATTAATAATAATAATAATAATTCGAAATGATATTAAACTAATGCATGAACCAATCAGAGTGCCGTATTATGCCTGGTTTATGCTTCGGTCTTAAGGACTTAATCCTAAAATTCAGCTAAAGAGTTCAAATTTCGGTTAGAACTGACATCTTAATTGGCTGAATTTTAGGATCTTGAGATTAAGACCTGAAGCATAAACCAGGCATTAACATCTTAATGGGCCTTCTACAATAAGCCGTAAGTCACAAATCATAAGTCATAAGCTAGAAATGGATCAATCACAGTCGTCAATTTTTAGTTTCTTACTTCCGATTTATGACTTATGGCTTATTGTAGAAGGCCCATAACGGAAGTGAGAAACTAAAAATTGACGACTGTGATTGGTCCATTTCTAACTTATGACTTATGATTTGTGACTTACGGTTTATTGTAGAAGGCCCATTAGACTATGTTCAGACTATAGATTCCGGCCTTAGTCTTATTATATGTTATTATTTTTCTAGATATTTAAAAGAGATAAAATTTTTTAACTTAAAAAAAAGTTAAAAAGTTAACGTTTAAAAGTAACTTAGTTAAATTAAAATTTAATGCATTTAAATAATTAACTAAGTTAAGTTAAATGTTATTAACTTTTAACTTTTTTTTAACTTTTAACGTTTTAACTAGTTACTACCCAACCCTGCTAATATGTATATGAGTTAAATAGTTACAATAATAGTAATACAATAAATATAATTACAATTACGATTATAATTATAATTATACTTGCGAGTCATGCCTGGTTTATGCTTCGGTTTTAAGGTTTTAATCCTAAAATTCAGCCAATAGAGTTCAAATTTTGGTTAGAACTGGCAGCTTTATTGGTTGAATTTTAGGATCTTAGGATTAAGACCTGAAGCATAATGGGCCTTCTACAATAAGCCATATAGACCAGGCAAATTAGGTTTTGAGAGGAAAAAAAATTTATCCGAAATCCGACTATTGGGGGTGGTCAAGGGACTTATAAGGATGAAAAAAAAAATTAATGTCCAAGCAGCCGTGAGGTAACCTGTTTACTAGGGGGGTTGAAAGGGGGTAAAAATGCTTTTTGGCGATTTCCGGTAAAAGTTGACATCTTATCAAGAAATGTTAAATACAAAAGTTGTAGGTCTTGAAAAAATCTATAACTTTTGTAGAGGGCATTTTTTTACATAACCTAAAAATTTCCGAGTTAAATGCCAAAAATCAAGTTTTCGGTTTTTTATTTTTCATTTCTCGAAAAATGATTTAATTTTGATGAAACTTGGTGGAATACTACTTTTGAATGTCTAGAATAACTACAAATTTTTAGAGTTTGGAGAAGCGAATAGTTTCTAAGATATTCGATTTTTCAAAAAAACACCCCCTTTTTCAAAAAGATTTTGTGGCCAGGAGAATGATCGTGCAATGCTCTACTGGGTCGCATTTTTTTTGTTATTAAATGTACTTTTCAACTATTTAATAATATATAGAGGTCACTATGGAAAAATATGTTTAAAAATGCGAAAAACCAAAAAAATCGCTTTTGGAACTTAGTTTTTTTGTTTAATTGTTGATTATTTGTTTAAATTAACTACAAAATGCAAAAAGTAGTTCATCCATTCGATTCTACGAGAAAAAATACGTAAGAAAACGTATTTCACAACTCGATTAAAGAGATTATTTTGTTGTAGTATTTAAATGAAGATTTATGTTGATTACTAAAATTTTCAACTTTTCAACTTTTACAAGTTTTTTTCACGTAAAACAGGTTAATATTTTTAATAACCTAAGACTTTGATTAACAGTGCCTATATATTAAACTTTTACGTAATTTTTATAAATAAATGGATAAAATTTCTATTTTTTTGTTAAAATAATTTGTTTATTTCACGTTTTACAATAAATATATTACATCTAGTACATAGTGTCATATTTACAATATAATTAAAGAATTTACACAGAATACATAATTTTACGCCAGTTTTGATCTTTTTGACGGAGTCGGTTGATCGTCGTTCGATTCGTGATCGGAAAATTCGTTTTCAAATGCCATGTTATCTCTACTTTCTTCTAATAGTTCATCTTCCAAATTCTCCGAAAGCATTTGCTGCTCAATTTCGACTTCGACTTCAATGTCTTCCGAATCGTGTAGAATTCTTAAAGGCTCGTATAAATTTGAACAACAGTCGTCATTCGGACAACTTTGACAAAATTCTGTACATTTTAGGCCAAGTTTTCGGCATCCACATGACTTCGTTGAACAATCTGAATTGCCGCAATTGCAAGAAATTATTCTTAATAGATCTTCGGGGATTACAGGATCTTCTGTGAAGCGAGGCATAAGTATTTGTTGATTATTTACAATTACTTGTTTCCAACCCCACAGTGTTGCATTGATTTCATCATTTCCAAGCCACTTTTGAAGTTGGAAATATGCTCTCTTCGAAAATTGTATAGCTGCTCCAGTAGTAGGTGGAATTTTTTCCAATTTAAAAGTAGAAGTTTGTACTAGTTTTTTATAATGCTGGTATCTTAATTCATCAAGAGATGTATTAAAGTTCTTGCAGTTATAAATCGATTTAATTAAGTTGCAGCCATTTCGAGCAATGACTTTTGGATCTGCATCGGCTGTGTAAAAAGGCTTTACTAAATCTGTTAGTTCAGGAGTAGCAATTAACAAATTAACTATTTTTCTTTTCCCTTTGCCTGCAAATCCAGAATTTGTATCACAACCAGAAAAACAGTGTAAAAATGCAATAATCGAACGGTAATCTTTATGCTGAAAACTATTTGACGAATAAATTGAGTCATTTGTATTGGCTGCACCTGGCGAGAGAAAATAAATACTTGCGTCGGATGAATTCAATTGATTTAATAGAACCAACAGATCTATGTCTTGTCCAACAACAACGACAGTTTTTTTGTATTCGGCAACACCTGTTGTTGTCTTTACAATCTTGTTTTTTTCGGCAATTTCAATGGCTGTATATATAATTAGCGAATCGGCATCTTCTTCAGCTTGTCTAACGGTATATCCTTCGAATCTAAATATTCTTGACAACTCTTTTATCAATTCTTTCTTATTTTTTTCATTAGATAAAAATCGGGCTTGTGAAAGAGTTATTTTGGTTTGCGGCTCAACTATAAAGGCAGGAACTACTGAAGTGCTTTTTCGTCTTGAGCGTTCCGCTGTTTTTGTTGAGGATGTTGTAGTATTTGTATCTAACTTATTGTCTGGGTAGCCATCAAACACAATAAAACTGTCGTCTGTATAATGCTTGCGTACAAAATTCAAATATTTTTGATTAATCACTTGCACAGTATCATTTTTTTGCCAAACGACTTTATGCAACAAAAATCCGCCATCAACAACGTGCACCAAGTCTCCGCGAGGGGGTTCAGTTTTTGTAAAATAACCAAACAGGTCCGATTTCGTATTTTTTCGAAAACCGTCTTCTGTAAAAATTGAGAGCGGGAATGGAGCAAGTTCGAATTTTAAATACATCCTCATGTCAGTCTTCTCAGTAATATTGGCGCATAAACGTTGAAACAATAATAATGGATCTATCGGAACGAGGTCGTCGTTAACTTTGATCGAGGCATGAATACTACTGAGAGCTTTGACTCTGTTCGTCCGTTTGAATGTTACTTCCCCAAAATTTTTCCCCGTCATTTCTTTTACAGATGCCAAGCCTATTTCAAATGCTTTGTGACAGTTTATAGCATTTTTCGCTTCATTGCCTTTTTTTCCTTCCTTGAGATCGCTGACAATTCCAGAAAAAATTGACATAATATTACGTGTCTCTGGAAACGGATTGTACGTGCCAAAAAATTGTAATATTGTTTCAAGATCAGAAACGTCTCTCGTAATCCTTGATTCCGTCGAGTCGACATGTTGTTCAGAAGTGCAATAAGAAACATTGCAAAAGTTCTCCATTTCGTTGCATATATCAACTAGAATTATCATTGTTAATAAAAATTTTGTGCAAACGCTTTCACGGTTGGGATTACGGCCGTGCGTTAATCCGCCTTGTGTCTTCATCGATCTCATTAGTGCTTGCTCAATGGTCATGTCAGACCAAATTCCAGACCAAAACTTGTCAGTACGTCTAATCGTAAATAAACTATCTGCTTTAAATTTCTCAAAAGGATACTCTCCCATTGCATCTTTTAACTCCAACATATCTTGCAGATATATATGAGCTGATTTTGCATAATTATTATGGCCGGATGCATGAAAATACGGAATCATTCGTTTAACACCTTCGAGATGTAGATCCCAGTCTCCCGAACGTTCAGCTTTTATAAACTCTTTAACGACCGCCAACATATTCCAGTACTGAATCCACAATTGCGCCGTTGGTCCTTTTTTTTCTATGTCGTCGATATGTTCTGTAAATTTGCGTTGAATGTCTACAATCTTTTCATTTTGCATATCATCTGTTACATTCTCTTTGCGTAAATTCTGCAAAAATCCGTCGAACGTTGCCTTTTGTTCGTCCGTTAATTCAAGTGATTCAAAAATAATTGTTGCTAAAGCCACTTGAACAAGAAAATGTGCTCGAATGGATCTGGAATACGCATGTCCGGTAAATGCTTTTTCTGCAGAATTATCAGCATATATACAGGCAAAAGCTTCTTTGAGTCCGCTTCCATCCATTATAAATCCAATTGACCCTAGGAACGACATTAGCGTATGGAATCCACCAAGTCTTACTCTAACATTCATTAAACCATATTCGTCATTTGTTGGATCTACACATGATAAAATGTAACGAGCCTTTTGATACAGCGGTTGATCAAATGTAACAAAACAAATAGTTTGTTCATGCTTATCTCTGGTTTCTACTGATGCTTTTACCAATACAGTAAAAATTGTATTCCAATCGCTTGGCGGATTATTAACAAATGGTAACGGAATAATTTTCGACATTTTGTAGTCACAATTTGAATGAAATTCTTCCATAAAGCCGCTGTAGCCATTTGATTTTTTATTAGAATATTTCGAATAAAGCCAGGTAAAATCTTCAATCGACATCTTTGGTTTGTTAAAATCATTGGTTAAAATATCCTTCACAATTACTGTTTTTAGGCCCTGTGCATTTTTTTTTTCGAAATGTAATAATGGTATAAATCCAAACTTGCCAACTACTTCTGAAGTAGGAATTTTCTTCAATCGAGTAATATTTTTTTTTGAAATGACATCTGATGACGGAGTTGCAACCTTAATACCTCCCATAACGTGCATCGTGTTTTTTCCATCAAGTATACAGGTATTATGATCAGCATTGTCAAAAACGTATTGAACAAAACACTCAGATTTACAAACATGATTTTCAGGATCATCTAAAATTGACGCTTCAAAGCGCAAGGTTTCGTCGTAGGTCGCACACAAACCCAAATACGACAATGAATCAATCAAGTCTCTTGATGCATATTTTTTGTGCATCATAGATGACAGACCGAGTAAAATTGGCGATAAAAATGTGCGTGGCCGGGCTGACATTATTATACTATGAGCAATTGTAGATATTCTCTTTTTCCACTTGAAATCATTTTTTCTACTTACAGCTTTGTGACTTTTCATAACAACATCAAGAAAATTTGTTAAAGATTCTGGAATATTTTCAAAGATATTTTTGTCGTTGAAATGTGGGAGATTGTAATTGTTCTTATCGTAAATAGTTGATCGGATGTCCTCCAAGATAATTTTTGCTGCCATTTTAACAATTCTCTTTCGTTCCAATTCGACATCTTCTTGTTGATTTTTATACCATTCTTGCCAAGCTTGCTTACTAATTTTATTTCGAAACAAAATAATTAGATCTGATTTTAAATGTACAAATTGTATTTCGTCGGGATAGGCCTTGTTGAATCTCGACTTAATGGTTTTTAGTTCTGGAATAGTTTTGCCTTTGAATTCTTCTTTAATCTCGTTTAGAGAAAATTGACTTTCACTTTGATTTTGATCGATATAATTTAGCGCAAATTCTATAAACTCTGTCGTATTTTAGCTTGGAGGGCGCCCAACTTGATTCGAAAGTTTTTTCATATAAAATTGAGACATACAATCTGGATGATATCTAGCTTGAATTTTAGGCAAGTCTGGATTGTTTCGCAAACGTGCAAGTAAATTTTTATCAGATATACTCGACTTTTCTCGTTCTTCAAGAGCTTCAATTATTTTATCCCTTGTTTCAGGTTTTTGTACAAATTTAATTTGATCCTTGGATAAACAAGTACCGCCGCAAAACAGACAAAGTTTTTGAAAATCGAAATCGAGAGCATCTTTGACTATTTTTTTACCTTCCAAACTTTTTCTGATGTGTTCTGTTGAAGCATTATGTATTGAACTTCTTCTATTATATTTTTTCTGACAAATAAAGTGTACATGGGCTGATGCTAATTTTTCCAACGACTTAAACTTGTTGTCTTTTCTTTGTTTGCTAGAATCTATAAGAGTGTTTATCGCCTTACTATGAATCGTCCTTAAATCTCCACCAGATTCATTGCAAATAATACAAACAGGATTATCCATACTGCGAATCTGTAAAAAAAATTTTACAATGCTATCAAAACTATTAAAAGAGTCGACGTACATTTTAAGAAAAAAAAGTGAAGAAAATGTTAATAAAAAAACAGTTGCAAATACGTATAAAATTCAATTCAAATTTGTAAAAACAAATTATTTGATTAATTCAAACGCTACTCTTGTTCGTAAAATAAAAAAAAAACCTAGAAAAGTGTAATAACTTTTCATTTTCTGGACAAAAAAAAGTAAAAATAAACAATAGTCAAACATTTTTATTTTTAAGCAACAAATTGATTCTTTTTCAAAAAAATAATAACGCCATTATTAATATTTCGACGAGCTACCCCAATTTAAAAAAAAAAGAAGAAGATCGAACGTTAATTCTAGGCAGAGATGCAACGTTTTCGACAATCAAGCGCTCCGCACGACGGACCGAACAGTCGTACGCCGGCATCGGCCGGTATCATATCCTAACCTCTTTAATTATAGCATTACATAGCAATTAATTTTTTAATTAGATCGAAAAAACGTATTTGGCCAATTCTGTCTTTCGACTATGTAACCCATAATTGTTTATTTAACACTTAATAACTGCATAAACTATTAAAAATACGAAGATATTAATGAATTTTCACTCACCTTGGCACGAAACAGTTTCGGTATATAAAATCCAGCCACGAGGTCTTTGAAACAATATTGTTACAAACACTGCACGTCGACGCCGGTGCTCCTTGATGCAGAATATTTCCGTCTCTGTACACGCGTGGCACAATATTTTTAAGAGCAAACTGTAAGTCCTTCTCACTTAATAGCGGTACGAATGGCAGTTGCTGCGAAACCAGACTGAGTCCACGTCCGATTCCCGCCACTTTACACCTACATCCATGGCAGCACCACAGTATATCTAGCGACCCTCTAATAAGAGTCTGGACACGTGAAGTTCGCCATTATTCGTCGAAATTGTGCGAGAGAGAAAAAATCATGCTATCTCATTCTAGTGGCGCTGTAAGTTGTAGCTGATTGTAGCTCTACAAACTTCATAGTTTTTGTTTCTGTTTCGTCTCGCCTCATGCATCGTATCATTTTTAAGACCAGGACCATTAATATTCGAAGAAGAAGAAGAATCATGATTAATATTATTATATTATTATATCATATTATTATATTATATATTATTATTATATTATATTATTATATTATTAT